TATTAATTCAGAGACAACCCTGTGTTTTTACTATTGTTCCTGCAGGCGAGTATTAATTCAGAGACAACCCTGTGTTTTTACTATTGTTCCTGCAGGCGAGTATTAATTCAGAGACAACCCTGTGTTTTACTTTTGTTCCTGTAGGCGAGTATTAATTAAATAGCATTTAAATTAGAACAGTAAGTTAAATATCATATATGAAACAGGAAAATATACTATACATATCAGCAGGAAATAACATGCCGCAGGGAAAACCTCAAACATGAATAAACTTGACTTATGTTTTCTTTTGTGTGTTATACCTCCAAAAGGCTTCCACTAAATGGTGTATATAATATCAGAATATTTCATTTTTAATTGAAATACTAATCTTAAAAAGGTAACAATACCTGAAGATCATTGCTACGTTTTTTTTTCCTAATCGCCAAGTACAGAAAATCTTGGTAACTCCCGTAATTAGTCCTTAACCTGTAAACATTTTGTATTGTTACGTCTCTGTTCGTTTGTTAATTTTCCGTATAAATTTTTTCCGAAGAAACTTTAGCGATACAAGTCCTTTCTTAAATAAAACTAGTTTATTCTTTCTCAATAAAACTTTGCAATACACTTAATTTCCACAGTCACGCTATAAATTAAATAAACGCTATAATTCACAATAAACGAACAATTCACGCGCTTGACTCAATTGTCCGTCTCTTTCTCTGTCTGCAATTCAATTCCTTTGTTGCCATCACTTGTTGGCTTATATACAAGAATACCGTACATCTAGTAAACACTCGAGGCCTCACGAAGGGACATGAATTTTCTAGAAGCTCATGACGTGTTACTATCGTCACATGACTTTCGCTGTCGTAACAGTATCAAAACTACAGTGAAAAGATAATTAAAACTTTACAGAATAATTGAAGGAAAAAACTTTGGTGTTTACCTGGGTAATGATTCTCCGAATATTTGGAATTAGGTATAGCTTGAAAGATTGTCATTCAACTAAAAAAGTCGTGTATTTATGCACTAATATTTCATTATTTTCTGTAGAACTACATAGAGGGCGTTTATAAAAAGTGTAAGATGTCCAATGTTCACTTATAAATCTGATGGCAATTTCATAGCCACAGAGAATCAATGATTGCAATTTTAAAATACTCATAAATGATACCAGCTCGAAAGTTTTCAAACATAATTATGTCTAACGTATTTTGTTTCACGAATAAGGTTTAATAAGATGAAATGTTTTACTTTATCAAATTAATAATGTCCTATTACAATCGTTATAGCTGTCCTGCATTGACTGTATTCTACGTTTAGGTTTAATATTTATGGTAAACCAACACTAGATTAAGACCGTTTGAAGCATAAACTACTTTAAAAAGTGTTACGTATTGAGAATTTGAAATAATTCAAGGCCGCGTTAAATAATTTAACTTCTAACAGTTGAACCGTACTATGGATTTGGCTTTAGAAATATGCCGATATTTTATTTAATTTACGCTATTCGCCAACAAGATTGATGCACACCGTTTTTGTTTAGACACAAATATGTTTTGATATACAACACTATAATTTACAACAGCAACTATTATGACTAATTATTACAAACAAAGTTTCATAAACAGAAATTTCACTAACTTACAAATAGCCTAAAACCGTCTTCCTAGTTCAGAGTCTCCTTGATATCGTATATATAAAATTTGGCGGGAAGCTTGCTAGCTTTGTCAGGCACTGAATTGTTGGACCGTTCAAGTAAGATAGTATTTTCACAAAATCACTAATGTCCGATGAGAAAGTTGGAATATTCTTGGAGAGATATTAACGTTCGATGGGAATTCACCGACGTTCGGAATTTATAACGGTTCATGGTCAAATGTCGTATATTTTCCAGTTGATAGGAGTTAGCAAAATCACAGTTTATAGCCTACACAGTTATAACAGTTTCATAGTACGCTTGTTTCTTCTTCGGATTGTCTGCTGTTTTTTGGCGCGATGCCCTGTTATTTCATAGGCTAGACACATCTTCTAGAACCTTCTAATAATACCGGATACGGAAATGGATAATATTGTTGATTCTTGTTCACGAATATTCTACAACCTTGGAGAATTGGCGATAGTTTCGCCATACGTAACTAACACGCATATTTCTAAATACAAATTCAATCTAAACAACGTTCATATTTAAAATAAATACATAATAATAAATTCGTTAAAAAATCTATCATTGTATGTAAATCTGCACTAAAACATGTTATCTGATTTCGCTGAAACAATTGATAAAATACAATTCTAAGGCTACATAAGTCTATGAAGAATTATTCAGTAATGTTTTAATTCACGAAGAATTACTCAGCAATGTTTTAATTTACGAAGAATTATTCAGCAATGTTTTAATTCACGAAGAATTTATTCAGCAATGTTTTAATTCACGAAGAATTATTCAGCAATGTTTTAATTCACGAAGAATTACTCAGCAATGTTTTAATTCACGAAAAATTATTCAGCAATGTTTTAATTCACGAATAATTACTCAGCAATATTTTAGTTCATGAAGAATTATTCAGCAATGTTTTAATTCACGAAGAATTACTCCGCAATATTTTAGTTCATGAAGAATTACTCAGCAATGTTTTAATTCACGAATAATTACTCAGCAATATTTTAGTTCATGAAGAATTATTCAGCAATGTTTTAATTCACGAAGAATTACTCCGCAATATTTTAATTCACGAAGAATTACTCAGCAATGTTTTAATTCATACCAGCTGAAGTTTTCGTTAAGGAATTAAAAACAGTATAAAGAACAATCTTGGATAATGTTCCTCTTCCTTCTGTATTTTGTTACTAAATTCCTAACGACCTCATTAGATGCTAATTGCATACCCTGTTTTGAGAGGGTAATAATTTACTCATTTAACTGATTAAGTACTTATGTCTTTAAATTTAAAGCCAAAAGAATATAAGAAGTGGAAACGTACCCTATTACAGAGTGTTTTTTTTTCTTTATTTCCTTTCTTTGGCAAAAGTCCTAAAACAAAATAACCAATGCATGCCATCGGATAGTTACCAGCTACTGTAAGAAACATTATGGTAATCGAGCCAGCCAGCTCTGGGTGATGGATGCTAACACACACACACACATAATGGATCATTTCTATAGTAAGGTTATCCAATGGATTTTGGCACAAAACCGTTGAATGAAAATAAAGTTACTTCAAGTTAATAAAATATAAATAATAATTGTTACTCGAACTGTGATATTTAAATGACTTAGAAAAAATACGAAGAATTACACTTCCCATGTTTAATCTATCTCATAACCCAAAATTTGTTCACGCAAATGATACCATACCTATGTTTGTCGTACAAATGATTAGATAAATATCGTGTATACCATAACTATGTTTGTCGTACAAATGACTAGATAAACAACGTTTATACCATAATTATATTTGTCGTACAAATGACTACATAAATATCGTGTATTCCGCAACTATGTTTGTCGTACAAATGATTAGATAAATAACGTTTATACATTAATTATATTTGTCGTACAAATGATTAGATAAATATCGTGTATACCATAACTATATTTGTCGTACAAATGATTAGATAAATAACGAGTATACCATAATTATATTTGTCGTACAAATGACTAGATAAATATCGTGTATACCACAACTATGTTTGTCGTACAAATGCTAGATAAATATCTTGTATACCATAATTATATTTGTCGTACAAATGACTAGATAAATATCGTGTATACCATAATTATATTTGTCGTACAAATGACTAGATAAATATCGTGTATACCACAACTATGTTTGTCGTACAAATGACTAGATAAATATCGTGTATACCACAACTATGTTTGTCGTACAAATGACTAGATAAATATCGTGTATACCAAACTATATAACAACATATTAAATCTTACTGCATATATATATATATATATTTGTATATATATATTTGTATATATATGTATATGTACGTGTTCTTTAAAAAGCTACGAATTTCTTTTCCTAACACCACAATGTGTAACATATGATGTGTCAGACAAATACATTGTTTAAACATAAATCATCGTGTAACTCTAAAGCCACTGAGAAGACGCTAGTAGGTGTGTGTGTGTGTGCTGTCGTTAAGCGTACACAATGGGCTGTTTGTGACGTGCCCAC